CCCCCCACCATCTGCCGCCACACATGTGATCTCGCCAGGAGCCGGTCACGGGGCAGTCAGCAGCCTGGACATGGGGGTGGTGGAGACGGTGGGCTGGAGTCTGAGCATGGCAGGGAGCCCATGCCAGTGAGGGTGCTGACTCAGCAGGAGAATAAACAGGGCCTGTCCTCCTGCCCCGACACGCTCTGCCCCAGCCCTGCTCCCTCTCCCCATCTCCAAAACTCAGTGCCCCAGGGTGCGGATGTGGGCCAGCTCTCTCAACCACAGCCCAGCTGTCAAAGGTCTTCGGGACAAAGGCACAGGGCATGCCTGGCGCCCGTCCCTACCACCAGCCCGCAATTCCCCACTGGGTGGGTGTCTTAGCTTCTCCATGTCAGAGACTCAAACCACAGCCCCTTTCCCTGCAAGGATGCAAGGTGGCCCCTGGCAGCCCTGGTGCCTTCTACCCGACCTTGAGCCTGCTGGCGCCCACGCTCCTGGGCAGTGAGAGAGGTGAGGCTCAAAGGTGAGGCCCCGCCCTGGGCAGGACCCTGTGTTCCCAGGGTTGGCCTGGGCCTCAGTGGGGGTCTCACCACACAAGCTGGTGGGCAGGGCAGGGTCCTCATGCACAGACAGGGGAGCCTGCTCATGGAGGCCAGCCATGCTGTTGAGGGCACTGGCACCCAGGCTGGCTGTCAGCCGCCCCCCGAAGCTCCGTCTGAGCCCTGCCCTCCCGAGGCTGCGTGCTTCCCTGACCGCTGAGGTAGTGATGTCGCCCTTGACCACTGACCGCTGCTGGGTCAGGAGCACTTGGCTGCCAGCCGCCTGAGCGAATGGGGCAGGGGGACATGAGGACAGACACCATGAGCCAGCCTGGCCCCGGTTGGAGGCCCTGGGCCGTCCGAAGTCAGTGTCGTGTTTTGCGGCATGTGTGGGGGCAAGAGACAGGATGTAGAGGGGACTCGGCATTCAAGGACAGCTGTCGGGGTAGGGGAGGGTCTGTCTCAACAGCGTCCCCTGGAAGGGGACCTTAGTCACCAGAGACCTCTGGGAGCAGGAACCCTACAGATGCAGCAGGCACCTCGGCTCGGCCGACACACTCAAGCAGAACAAAGGCCCTTTGCTTGCCCCCCACCCGACATCCACTGCCTCTGCCCCAGACCAGCCAGCAAATGCTTCCACAGGCCGCGAGTTGTTCCCGGATCGGGGAGGGGAGAGGGCTCAGGAGGCAGTCCCTCCTGTCACAGGATTCTGGGATGACGTCCTAGGAGGTCCCCCGGGCGGTGCCCAGTGGGGACCTGGGTCTGCTGGTGCCTTAGGACACAAGGGTGACCTTGAGTGTCTGAGGGGCCCAGCTGTACATGCAGAGGCCTCTGACGAGGGCTCCTGCGTGGGGCTGACCGCAGACCAGCCGGGGCCCAGGACATGCTGTGTCCTCACGCAGGGGTGCTGTCTGCACGGGACGGCGGGCAGAACCGAGGCCCTCCCCTCGGTGGGTGCGGTGTGGAGGTTGCCCCTTGTGTGTGGTGCCCGCTCCCTTGCCCTCCCCCGCCCACCTCTCCCCTACTCACCCCTCCCAAGCTGCACGAAGCCCAGCAGGATGATGAGGGCCAGTGCCAGTAGCTTGGCGGCCGCGAAGGCGTCCTGGACACGGGTGGCCGCCTTCACACTGTAGCAGTTCACCGCCGTGAGCAGCACTGGGGACAGAGGGTGGGGCAGTGAGTGACTGCTGGACACACCCCTGCAGTGTTGTCTGGTGGTTCTGTGGGTTAAGCGCTCGGCTGCGGAACCACAGGGTCTGCCCCTTCAGGAAAGGGCCCCACGGTTGCAGGGCAGGGTCAGAGGCTGGTGCTCTGCGCGCCCCGCCCCCCGCCCCCTGCTTCCTGTCTGTCTGCAGCCTGTGTCGGCACACTCCGGGGACAGCTCTGACCCGAGGGCAGAGCCTCCCTGGGAGGGAGGACCAAGCTGCCTGCCTCACCTGACCACTGGATGTGTGCACACAGTGGAAGTGACCAGTGTCCCCCTCCCAGTCCTGGAGGACTGACGAGGCCACCCTGACACGCTTGGGGCAGGCCCTGGGTGAGCAAGGTGACAGGAGCCATGGGCAAGGCCGGGGCTTAGAGGGGTACCACAGCCCAGGGGCTGCAGGGACTGACTCCACCTGTGTGTGTGTGTGTGCGGGGGGGCCTTAGGCGAGGCCAGTCTCTGGTGCCCATGACGTTGGTGGGTACCGGAGGATGAGCAGGACACCAGGTGTGTAGGGGGGGAGGGGGCTGGGGCACGCAGGCCAGAGAAGCCACCTGGCACTTGCATTCAGAAGCAGCCCTTCCTGAGGCCACCTGGACTTGCCGGATCCCGCAAGAGGAAGTAGACTTGCATCAGGCTGTGTCCCCGCCCCGGGCCAGCAGGGGGCGTGGTCACGCTGCTCTGAACCAGAGCCTGTGGCTCCGAGGGTCCCAGTCACCTAACCTTTGGCTACAGGGTGGTCAGCTAAACCTTCCAGGGGTGAGCCAGCCCAGCGGGGCGGGGGAGAGCCACAGGCATCCAGGGTCACCTCTGTGTACAGTGCTCCGTGCCACCCCTTCCTATCACGCACGCACGCACGCGCAGGCAGGTCCGTCGGGCAGCAGGAACCAAAGGACTTGGTAACATTTTTATGCAAAGAAACAGTACTTTGGCTAAAAGATAAACAAGGCCGCATTATTCTCCAAAATGCTTCCTTTTGTCTTGTTTCAGGATGTAATGTGACCTGTAGCCACCCCCACTCTGCTGGGCATGGTGCCCTCGTGCTGTGGGGGGCGGGCGCCAGAATCACAGCTCAGCCCCAGGAGCTCGGGCTGCCTGTCTGGCCTCAGACCCTTGGGGCCACCAGGGACAGGGCCTCCCTGGTGTACGGCACAAGGCAGCTGTTGCTAGGACCACCGAGCATGCCCGCCCCTGCAGGGTGGGGCTTCAACAGCTGTTACTGGGGGTGCCTGGGCCACAGCTGCCCTGGCTGGGAGCCAGCACCCCAGATAAATGTGGCTGTCCCCACAGCAACAGCTGGGCTGGAGAGATAGCAGCCCATCCCTGTGCAAGGCTGTACCCCTGGGGTGAACAGACAGCCACCCCAGTGGCCCTCCCTGTCCATCTGAGTCCAGCTGCTTCCCAGGAGGGCAGAGGGGTGCCCTGGCCCTAGCTAGGGGGCAATGGGGAGGGGGGGGGGCTGAGGTCTTCTTTCCTTGAAGACAGGGAGGCTGATCCAGACACCATCCTGGGTCCTGGGTCCCAGTTGGGGTGGGGGGAGACCCCTGGGTGAGGAACCCCAACTGGACCCAATCCCTGTTCACCATGGGGAGACGGTTCCCCAGTGAGGGCTGACCAGGGGCAGAGGACCAAGGCAGGAGACAGCCCAGAAAAACGGCCCGGAGCCCAATGGACAGTCCTGCCCCATCAGCCAAGGGGCCCACATGGGTCAGGGGGTACCAACCATGCTGGCCTCATCCCCCTTCCTCAGGGCAGACAGTGTGGCCGAACCGCCAACCCTGGAGCGAGCCGCCCATTCTAACCCACAGCGCCACCAGGACCTGAACATGGTCCTGTCCAAACACTCGCCGCAAGAGAGCCCATTCAGCTGAAAAGCGGGTAGGTGTCCTGGCTCCTGAAATGCTGACCTCACTGAACCCAGGTCTGCGGGGGTACCTAAGACTGACTCTAGGGGCAGGGGGTGGATGGGGAGGTCTGCAGCCCATACGAACAAGGACAGAGGAGCTGTGGGTGGGGGCAAGAGACCCCACTCCCCAGGGGACTCCCCACTGCCAAATCAGAGCTGCCACACACCAACCAGGCTGGGGTCCGCGTGGGGGTGGTGGCGGTGCTAGGCCCTGATGCAGGGCGCAGGCTGAGCAGTGGCGAGTGTTGCTTGAGCTCTGAGGTCAGGGTGATTCATTCAAGCAGGGGAGTAGAAGGGCTGCCCCCTCGTCATTGCTGGCCAGGAGGGTTGGGGTGGGGGGACCTGGCACTCAGCTCTGGGCCCTAGGGCAAACACTCGTGTCTACAGGGCCTTCTCTAAGGGGTAAGGATTATATGGGGTCCTCAAGGGCCCAATGGTCTACAGCAGCGCACCCCGACACTGGCCTCCGGGGCCCCAGCTTGTGCGCTGCAGCCCGCTGAAAAAGGTGAAGGGGTTAAAGAGTTGCACTCCTGTGGGGGCGCCCCCCCTCCCCTGCCTGCCCACCCATGAGGCCTGCCAGGAGGGTTTTCCCTGCAGTTCTGGCACCGGGGCAGCCCGCTCACAAGATGGGCTTATGGAAAGCAGAGGCATTGGCCAGGTGTGCCTGCGAGGCTGCCGGGAGCCCAGCCAGCACACACGCCTGTCCCGGGAACACGCCACTGAGGGAGGAGCCTGCCTGCCTGCCTGCCTCGTGCACACGCCTCAGGGGATGCTGCCCGGCCTTCCCCTCCCCAGGAGGGGCTGGGGAGGCGGCTGGGCCACATGTGCAGAACAGAGCTGAGCTCAGGGAGCAGGCAGGGGCTGAGGGCCTTTACAGGTTTGAGGGGCACCATCAGGCCCTTATTCCGAGGGTCCTCTGGGCAGGCTCCTCCAGCCTTCTAGGTAGCAGCCAGGCAGGCACCACCTGGGGAAAAGTTGCAAAGCCTGCCACCAAATTCTCACGGCGGCCCTACGGGATGGACGATGAATGGAGCGCCCCTCCCCGTGGGCTCCAGAGACTGTCTGCCTGTCTCTCCGCACTCTCACTCGGCTGAGCCGGACTCAGAGCGACCATCAAAAAGACCCACACTCCCTGCCATCCAGCCAGTGCTGACTCACAGCCACCCCAGTGGGTTTCTGAGACTCACAGTTCACAGGAGTAGAAAGCCCAGTCTTTCTCCCACGGAGCTGCTGGTGGTTTAGAACTGCTGACCCCTGGAATGTGACCCAGCGCCTCACCACCACACCACCAGGGCTCCTGAGACAGCAACCCTGTAGGATGGGGTTTGTCCTGGTGGGTTTCCAAGATGAATTGTTGAGGAGTGGCAGGTCCCTCCCCTATGGGGGGGACCGGCAGGCTTGGCTGCTGGCTTTGCCGCCCACTACGCAGGCGTCCAGGTGGAAAAAGTAAAAAGTCACTCACTCCCTGTGGCCCTCTGTGCCTTGGGGACACCGGCCTGCTGCAGTCAGACTCACCAGGTTGAGGCTCCAGGTGCTGCCCTGGAAGAGGACCCAGGGCCACCCGGTCGGGGCCTCCCCATCCTTCCACCACACGCTGCCTGCTGTCTGTGAAGCTGGTCCTGACTGCCGGGGAGCCCATGAGTAACGGACAGGCACACGGCCTGGCCGGGGCCCAGCCATCTTCAGTTGACCCTGTGTGTCCAGCTGTGGGTAACTGTGTCCCTTCTCACTTCCCCAGGCCTGCGGGGCCCTTTGCGCCCCTCCTGTCCCATCCCTCAAAGCCCTGGCCTCCCCACTCCTCCCACCACCACTGCTCAGGGAAAAAACACCACCCATTCAGGTCACCTGTGCACTAACCCGCCATCCAGCCGGACCCTAAAGAAGGATCTCTCTCAAGGGAGCCCTGGTGGAGCATCGGGCCAAGCGCCCAGCTGCTAACTTACAGGTCGGCGGTTCGAACCCACCAGCCACTCCTTAGGAGGGAAAGATGGGCCGGGGCTTCAGCAGAGGTTGGCAGTCTGGGAAACCCTGAGGGGCCACTGGGTGCCCATGCGCCCACAGGAGCCATGGGGCTGACCGCTGTGTGGAAAGCCCACCTGGCTCCAACTCCTGAGTGATGGGCATCTGGCCCCCCAGGCCAGCCCCGGGCAACAGGCGCACTGTCGAGGATGTGAGACCCAGCCAAGGCCCCCGCTGATTCAAGGCCTACAGGAGAGCCTCGTACAACAGCTGCAACCTCACCAAATTATAATGAAGAGTCACCTTTCTCAAAGGAATCTCAGGGACAAGAGTGGGTCCAGACTCCTGGGAAGGCTGGTGGCCAAAGGGCACTCAACACTGACCCCTGACCAGGCTCCAGGAGTGTCCCTCCCACCCCTCCGCAGGACACTTCAGCCAGGGAAATGGGTGGTGGTAGGAGTCACAGGCACAGGGTCTCACCTGTCCTCCGGGATGGGGTGGGGTGGGAGGGTGGAGACGTGGGGGGTCCCACAGATATGAGGTGTCAGCTCTGTAGACCGCTTTGAAAACACCCCCAAATAATTCAATCATTTGGGGGGCAGGGGGGACAGAACCCATACCTTATGTTTTTAAAATAACCCAGCTGCTTATTTGTAGCAGAGGAAATGCTAAAGGCTCTCCCCTTGACCTGAGAGGATGAGGGACAAGGGGGTGGGAGGTGGGGGGTCTGCTGACCCCCACGCGTCCTCACTGCAGACTTGTTCAGTGGAGTATTTATCTGCAGTGGCCTTGCACAAGCCTGCAGGTCTCTACAGGCACCCTGGGCTGAAGCAGGACTCCTGGGTGGGCGTGAGAACTCCCGGTCTTCACAGGGGTCCCTCTCCCTTCCCTAGGCAGGCCAAGAGCGACCATGTCCAGCACCCCTGTCCCGGAGGAATCCTGCCCCTGGACTTGGACTCAAATAAGGGGCTTAGCAAGAGGCCATTCTCAGCACAAGGCCCCTTCCACCTGGCCTTCAAGAAGGTGGAAGGGGCTCTGAGTTTTTAGCCACAGGCTTGGGGACGAGGGGCACAGAGGGGGCCTGTGGGTACGAGGATGAGTCAGCCCATTCACAAACCACGGGGCCAGGCCCCCACGCTGTCTGAGACGCACCACACCCCTGCTGGGGTGCAGAGGGAACAGAAGGCCTGGTTCTCACAGGCCGGGCCAGTCCCTAAGGACACACGCCTACAGAAACAGCCCCACAGGGACATGCCATCCCCGATTTCACAGTGACTGGTTCCAAACCACCCTCCAGCCCTACCACCCTGGATTTAAGTGCCGCTGGAGGCCCTGGGAGCTGAATGCGTGGGAACGGGCTCAGGGCGCCCAGCCTTTCGAACTTCTCAGAGGGCGGCTGGGGAATTGCCAACGGTGCGGAGGGGGGCGGAGTGGGGCCCTCTGGGACAAAAGATTTTCTCTCGAAACCCCAGGGGAAACGCTCTGATCAAGACTGTGGGCACACCAGCACCCGACTGGCGGGCAGCTCTTCACGGAGATGACGCCCATGCAGCCTGAGTTCGCCACACACACGCAGATTTCATCAACCAGCCCGCTCCGGCTGCCAGCCAACTCCAGACCACTGCCGCCAGGCCGGCCAGCCCCGGGGATCCGTCGGAGGCCCAGGCAGGAGAGCTCGGAGTGGCCGGCGGCGGGAAAGCCCTTATCAGGGCTGCTGCTTGGGAGCGGCGGCTGTGGGCCCGGCCAGCGCTGATAGGCTGAGCTGCAATGAATGAGTGTCCGCTCGCTGGCCCACGGGGCACCTGCCCGAGACCGGGCTCCGACACCGCACGTGGGCTCCGGGCGGCCAGGATCCCTCCGGCTGCCCGTGCTGTCTGGGCGCAGCTGCACACGTGGGCGCATTGCATCAGACAGGGCCTGGCCCTGGCGCGGCTTCCGGCCGCCGGGAGACGCGGAAAATGAATGAACGGGGCCTCCAGGACCGGGCCGGACCCGGGAGCCTGGCCCGAAGCTGCGGGAGGTGGGCTGGGGGTTGCCAGAGCGGCTTGAGGCCGGCCAGAGGGCCTGGCGAGGGCTGCGGACGGGTGGCCGCGGGCATAGGCGGGCTGGGCATCGGGGCTGGCCGGGGGACAGGCGGGAAGGGGGCGGGCTGGGTCAGTACTCACACACGCAGAGGCAGGCCACCAGCTTGGCGGCCTCGTCGGGCACCGGGCAGGTGGGGAAGACGGGCTTGAGCAGGTAGGTGGCGAAGACCAGCGCCACGATGTACTGCGAGGAGGGTCGGATGATGAGCAGCTCGATCCAGAGCTTGAGGAAGGCGGGCAGCGAGCCGTAGACCTCCAGCATGTAGGCGTAGTCGCCCCCGGACTTGGAGATGGTGGTCCCCAGCTCGGCGTAGCAGAGCGCGCCCACGATGGAGAAGACCCCGCACGCGGCCCAGATCACCAGCGACAGCCCGGGCGAGCCCGCCTCCTTGAGCACGCCGGTGGGGGTCACGAAGATGCCCGAGCCGATGATGGTGCCCACGATGATGGCCACCCCGTTGAGCAGCGTGATGGAGCGCTGCAGCGTCACGCCCTCGTCCTCGCCGCCCGCCGCCAGCATCCG